TTGCTTGCAGCAGCTAGCGTTGCTGCAAGGTACAGCCAAACCGGTCGGCAGGCCCTCCCTCGCCTCTCTTTCGCGATGACCGTGACCGAGCATATCAGGGCGCACATATACAGCGCTATACAAGTCACAGCCCTGGCTGGCTTGGCTGCTGGTCGATCGGTCGATCGATCGATGAAAGCTTTACAAGGACGCTGAGCGCCGTTGCAGGCTTGCAGCTCTCGATGATCGCGTTTGATGCGTGATTCATATTACATTCACATTCGTGATTGTTGTTATTGTGCCATCACCTTTCATCCACGCTGTCTCAGCCCACAGCTTTATTCGATTCTGCCAATAAAACGAGCATATGAAATGCATCAAGGGTCGCTGAGCCTAAATTTGTTGCAAGTCAAGGTACGTACCGCGTATGCTGTCAGGGCGCTCGATCACTTCTGACTCGTGACTCCTGTAGAGTACGTGGCTCGCGTGACGCATCCTAAGCCGTCCAAATATATAGGCAACAGCTACCAGTCACGAGTGGTCTTGAGTAAATAGGCTCGCCTCGCCCACGCCCTGACTTTTGTGCTCGTCTAGCTTGCACACGACTGGGACTCGTGACTGTGACTCGTGGCACAGCCGCACGGTCAGCTATGAATGAGACGTGACCAAACAAATAACGTCGCTCATCAGCATTTGCGGGGCTCTCACGTATCTCATGCTACCCTCTCTCTCTTCTCCACGCATCAACTGCAGCTAACATTTCCAACATTTGGGCTCCGGCACTGAAGCCATGTCAGGCTCATCGGAGCAGTGCCCGTATCAGGTGCTCGGAGTGGGCCCCGACTCTACGCCAAGAGATATCAAAGCAGCATATCGAGCTAGGTGAGTTCTGAGTCGATAAATATATGCTGCGCCGGCAGGACAGTTCTTGCAGCTGCGCACTCACCACCATGCCCGCCCAGCAGAGCATTGCAGACTCATCCGGATCGAGCGGAGCCACACAGAAGGGCGTCCAGCGAAGAGCATTTCAAGGTCATACTTCGGTGAGCTGAGCGATGAGATTCGAGCAACGAGCAACATTTGCTCGGTGTCAAGAAAGACCACACTCACGACTCGCAGCGTCGACGTTCCCTGCTTGCTGGTGCAGAGCCTACGAACTTCTCTCCGACCCAGTGCGCAGAGCTCAATACGATCGAATTTGCACAGCGCAACTTTGTCCTGCACAAGCATCCACGCCTCAATCAGCAGCTCCTCACCTGCAGCCGCAGCCGCAGCAGCAGCAGCAGCAGCACAAACGACATGGAAAAGCAGCCTCAACTTCAGCGAGCTCAAATCATGCGCCCTTTCCCGGGATTCCCCGCGCTTTCCCAAACAGCCCTCCAGCTCCGCCACCAATGTCAGGCTTTCAGACCTTTGCGTGGCCGAACCAGATGCCAGCCTGGGCACCTCCTCCTAGCGAGCCGCCCCCCAACTTTCTGAGCAGAATGGACACCTCTACAAAGCCTCCTGCGCCTGCCTTTCAAGACCTGCGCTTTGGTCATCAGCCATACGACGAGGCAACAACATTGGGCCAGCCCCTTCGGCCGCCGCTCCACAGCGCGTTCGACCCGGATCATTTCTACGACCCGTCTTTCAGCGGGAGCGGGAAAGAGTCGAGGCAGGATGACTGGGTCCACCCATCCAGATTTGCAAGGTACGCCTCCTCATTCAGCACACTTCACGCTGCACCGCACGAGTCAGGCGCAGCGTGGAACTCTGCTAGGCGAGGACAATCTGCAGCAGCGACTCTTCCGTCCGCACCTCGTCTGAGCCCCACAGCGAGGCACTGCTTCTCCACTTTTCGCCTCAGTGCCACCCTCACGGGCATGCGGCGTGATGATGGTCTGGTGTTCGATGGATCGGTAAGTGCGAATGGGACATTGTCCTGGCAGCGCGCTCCAACATCGGTCACATCTGACGCACCGAACAGTAGCTCCACGCCGAGTATAGGGAAAAGTGACCCAGCCCTCATCTGCCGAGCCATTGGCTACGGTGAGGCCACTCGCTATGCTTTTGAACCTGGTCAAAAGCCGCGCAAGGCGCGCGCCAGTGCGCGAATTGGTGGTGCCTTCGCTCGTCGGAATAGCATCAGAGGGCCAGCGGTCAACAGCGAAGGGGTCGCCGCGACAAGACTCTTCCAATCAGCCTAGCTTTGACCTTCCCCAGGCAGAAGGGTCATTAGTGGTCCGCACATTTCTGCCTGTTTCGCAAAGACGCCGCAGAACCGCTTCGACCCAGCCTCTGCTCCATCTTTGTCCGCGCGCTTCTCACCTTTGGCCCAGGGCCACGAACGCTGCAGGCCTTTAACATGGGCAATCGATTGAGATTTACATCCGCAGCATTATGGCAAAAGCTGAACATGAGTGGCCGACCCGAGGCGAAAGGCAAATGCATGGCGAGAGGCGCTGTAGGGAAGACTGCGCCCGGTTGCGGAGCCGGCGTTCCTCTGCCGGAGAGAAACGAGGGAACATGGGGGCCCTGGCACAGGGAAAAGTCGGGCATTGGTATTGGTTTTGCGTGACGATCTCGAGATGTGGCCCGTGCATTGTGCAGACCTTCATCACTTCTTGTTCTGCTCCCGGGCCGCTTTAATCAGAGGACTCAGTGTCCGCAAGCTGTCGCAATACTTCAAGAAGGAGTGCTGTGTGGCGTGCGGACACCAGAGTCAGCTTCAATCCATTCAGATGCATAAGCACACGCAACACTCACTCCAAGGACAGTCGTGGCATCTGGCCTTCTTTCTGCGTCCACATCCAAGCACGTCTTCAAAAAGTCGCGGAAGGTGCTGGACAAATTCTCCGGATTGTTGATCTTTGGCGTACCGTTCGTCGCGATGAGGTACAATGCGCGAAGCGGGTTCTCAGTCAGGTAAGGAGGCTCGCCCTCCACCATTTCTGTTGTAGCCGGAGAATGAAATTAGCCCGGAGTTCGAGATTGGGCTCATGGCTCGCTCTCACTCACCAATGCACATGATACCAAGACTCCAAATGTCCACCTTCGGCCCATACTCTTTGCGTGTGACCACCTCGGGTGCCATCCAGTACGGAGTTCCGACCATCGTAGTACGCTTCGCTTGGGATTCTCCGATCTGAGCGCAGAAGCCAAAGTCAGCTGCGCGGGAGAAGCAAAGCAGGCAAAGGTCAGCATCCTGGTTGATTCGTGCGCTGAAGCTTTGGCCCAACGCACTGAGCTTGATGTCACCGTTCATGGACAAAAGGATATTGTCGCTCTTGATGTCTCGATGAATGACGCTGTTGGCGTGCAAATGACGCAGACCCTCGAGCACTTCGCGGCTGACTGCAGCAATTTGGCCCTCTGTCATGATGTTGCATGTCACGACGTCTGTCAGACTGCCGCCCTCCATGTACTCCATCACCACCCACAGATCGCCCTTGTACAAGAAAGAGTCGATGAAGTTCACAATGTTCCGATGCCTAGATTCCCGCATAACCAGAATCTCGTTGATGATCAAGTCTTTCTTTGGCTGTTGGTCCAAATTCATCTGCTTGATGGCCACAGACAGATTTGATCCCACTTGATAAGCTGTATACACTCCACCGGAGGCTCTATTGACGTAACGCCAAGGAAAATTCGAGTCCAGTCAGCTCTTCCTCAGGCTGCTGCTGGACCGCCGGTGAGCATCGCACACTCACCCTTGTCCAATCTTCACAAGACTCCTGTACAGCTTCGTAGGATCTGCGTCTGTGCAAATTGCCTGCAGTTTTGCGATCACGTCTGCATCGTTCATCTGTGTCTTTTTCGTCTCTCTACGACGAGGCGTAGCGCCAGGGCCTTTGGAGCTGCCACCTCCAGGTGCCGCTGACGGGCTCTGTGTCTTGGACGCAGCGACCGGAGGTGCTGGTCTCGAAGCGACAGGCGCGACGCTCGCACCCGAGGCACTTGCAGTAACGGCCTTGGGCGGCGCTGGCTTGACAGCAGCCGGCACAGGGGCCGGAGCCGGCCGTGAGGGTTTAAGATCTGGCACGACCGCTGTTGGTGCCGCAAACCTTTCGGGCGAAGGTGGCCGTCTGAGGGACTTCTTCGCGGAGGACGCACCTCCAGGGGGAGGGGGAGCTGCCCGAGGCTTCTCGTAAACGCCTTTTGACACTGGCGGTGGAGGCTGTTCCTCCCCCGCTCCTAATCGGCCGTCTGAGCTGCCCGGTGTGCCTGTCCCAGCCGAAGCGGAAGACTTCGCACCTGCACCCCCAAACTTTCTCCAAACGGCTTCTTCTTCGCCCATGTTCTGGGTAGCGTCCTGATAAAATGCTACTATATCCATGACCGCCTGAGGATTAGCCTCTTGGTCCTGTTTTGAAATACCAGAATCTTGCAGCAATTGCTGCCATTCCTTGGGCAAGCCCTATGCAGAGGATCGAGGCAGCAGAGATTGGCGTCAATGGCTCGTAATTTCAGCGGAGCAATACAGTGTTGCTCGATCTCACAGTAAATTCCCCAGTGTCGGAGTTGAAGCCAACATGGGTCAGATGGACAGGATCGTAGGGCGTGGAAATCTCAATCTTTTTCTGCTGCGAGAAGACATCTGAGATGAGAGCAGAAGATTCGTAGAGGTGCCGCAAGTACGTCAGTAACTCCAGCCCTTTCTGTTGCGCCATGCAACTCAGATTTCCTCAGCGTGATACATACCGCTCATTGAGTTGACGAAGCCACCAAAGACTGATTTAAAGGTGTTACGCCCAGCAGGGCCGCTCAGACTCCCGTCTCGTGAACGAATGCTGGCCTGTGGGCCGGCAAATTGGCCGCTTTGAACAGATCCTGCATCTGCATCTACCACCGGTGACGCTCCGCCTAAATAATCGAATGTAGCCGAGCCGCTGCTGAGAGGACTTGAAGTCGTCGCACCTAGATGCGGAGATGGAGCTGGCCCACTAACGCTTGCGTGCGACCGAGCACCAGAACTAGGTACAAACCCGCTCGGTGTGACACCTGCTGGCGCTGCAGCATAGTAAGCGTCTGCACCCATCGTGTTTGATCGCAAAGGTGGTGCCGGTCGCGGTGCATCTCCGGTAGAGGAGCCTGCGCCATACTTGCTTGCGCTGCCACTTGCATATCCACTTGGCGCGCCGGTAGAGGATGGCAAGCCAGAGCGTGCGGCAGAAGGTCCCCCACCTGGCAGACCAGAAACTGTTGTGGGACCTTGGCGGTACGACCCCGCAATGTATGAAGATCTCTGCGGCTTGCTGGCGTAAGACGAGCCGCTCATTGGAGGGCTGCCGTGAGCGGCGTAAGGTCCACTGGAGCCTATCGGTGCAGCTTGGCTTGGCCGCGCAAACGCCGACGCGCTTCCACCCAGACTCGGGGAGCCAGTAGCACTGGGAGCGTATGACTTGGATGAGCCTGGAGGCGGCGGTGCGCTGCGTTGTGGTATAAGATCAAGCTCTCCAGGAACCGCGCGATTGGCGCGGAGTTCATCATCGTCGCTGTGAGAATAGCCATTGCCTGTTCCGTATCGGGCTGCAGTTGCCGCATGATCGTGCGAGCCGTATCCTTCAGCAGTGGAGAGGATCTGGGGAGCACCAGCAAAGTCGTGTGGGTGCTTGATGATCGACCTTCGTGGTTGATGTGACATGATTGTGGCCCCGTTGGTTGGTTTGAAACACGCGGAGAAGAGTCGACTGTTTCTACGTGATATTTGAGCTGAGCTGGTGGTCGTGCCAATGCAAATGATTTGCTAGGCCAGCAGCAATCTCGACAACACACCGAGGGCAGGGTCGCGCCTATACCTCAGGTGGCGTGCTAGGCACGGAGTGCCGACAACAGATATTCTCAGGGCCGGGTGAGGAATTGGGAGGCAAATCAACGTGTGGTTGGTCCAGTTAGGCGCGACACGAACAAGCTGCGAAAGATGAGCAGTAGCCCAACGTGAGTATGCGCTCAAGCAGTTGATCGAAGTGTCGTAGAGCCTTTCGCAGCTGCAATGTTGATGGGTGTATGTAGAGGCAGCTGAACCAGCTTCCACGCAGCGTGCCCGTTGGAGATCTCGATTGAGAGTTGTAGCGACTGAGTTGGCGCCAAGTAGCAATGGGCGGCTGCGAGCGCTGTTGGCGATGCCCAGTGAAAGATCAAGCACGAGGTCAAAAGGGCAGACGTAAAGGTGAGACTGAAGATGGAGCGTCGGTATCAAGAGCTGCGAGTCGACTAGCGACGCATCCACCAGCCTAAAGGTACCGAAATGGGATGTGACGGAGCAGCGCTGATATGTGCTGTTGCGAAGGACAAATCGTGCTTCAAAAGAGGTCAATTGCTGCCGTTGCTGCGATGGAGTTTTCAAGAGCTCCGCGCACTCGAGTTGTGAGTGTGGGAATGAGGGTGGATGGAACTTTGGTGCTAATACCCAGCAGCAACGCAGCAGGCATACTTCGGTCCGCTCGCTGCTGCTGCTGCTGCTGCTGCTG